TGTCCATACGTATGTGTGCATTCATATGCATACGCAACAGCATGATACAGGAGGAAAACCCAATCAGGGCTGTAGGGCTATAGGGCTATCGAGCTATAGGGCTATAGAGCTATGGGGCTATTCGAGTTGTAGGGCTATTGGGCTATAGGGCTATAGAGCTATAGGGCATTGGGCTATATATATATATATATATATATATATATATATCATAGGCACCACCGGGCACCCCCGGGCACGCCCGGGCCCCCGGGCCCCCCCCCGGGGCACCCCCCCGGGCACCCAGGCCCCGGGCACCCCCGAGCACCCCCGGGCACGCCCGGGCACCCGGGCACCCGGGCACCCGGGCACCCCCCGGGCAACCGGGCCCCGGGCACCCCTGGGCACCCAGGCACCCGGGCGTGCAGCGATAATCGGCGACAAACCTAACCTAACCATATGAATCTGCTAGGACCCCTACAGAGGCAAGCTCTGATTGGGGAACATCTGCATAACGCCCCTATCGTTGCCCCTCGCCATGGCAGAGTCGAAGAACGTCCTCCTGCTGTGGGGCCCTGTGGCCTATCGCCGATCTATCGGCGATGTATCGCCGATTCCAGGTCGTCGATGTGTCCTCCCCCTTTGCCAGTCCCCCCTATCGTTGCTCCTCCTCCCTCCTCCTCCTCCCCTCCTCCTCCTCCTCCTCCCTCCTCCTCCCGCTTCCTCCTCCTCCCCCTCCTCGCTCCTCCTCCTCACTCCTCCTCCTCCTCCTCCTCCTCCTCCTCCTCCTCCTCCTCCTCCTCCCTTCTCCCCATCCACAATTACCGAATATGAATACTACTCTCCCTCTTCCCCTGATGACGGTTTGAAAGTAGTAGCCCCCCCCCCGCGTACTGTTTTTTTACACACAGGATTCCCCGGAGATGGGTTTTCGCTTGCATTTTTTCCAACATGCTGCTCTCGCTGAGGCGCTGGCCTCATTTTCGGGCCCCGCTCGTTCCGAATCGTGCTCCCGCTGCAGCGCTGGCCTCATTTCCGTGCTTCCGCTCGTTCCGAATCGTGCTCCCACTGCAGCGCTGGCCTCATTTCCGCGCTTCCGCTCGTTCCGACTCGTGCTCCCGCTGCAGCGCTGGCGTCATTTCCCGTGCCATGCCACGGCATGCAATGCAATGCTAGGTTGATGCTACGCTTTGCGGTGCTCTTCTACGCCATGCCATGCCGTGCTCTAAAATGCATCGCGTACCCTTTCGGGATCATTGCCCTGCTCGACATTCGACTGTGCGAGTAGAGAGGGGATCTACGCCATGGTAAGGGATGGGAGGGAGGGGTAGGATGTCAAATATGACGCGAGCGCACCTAGCTTGCCCTCTCCTCCCCCTCTCCCTTCTCCTCCTCCTTCTCCTCCTCCTCCTCCTCCTCCTCTCCCTTCATCCTCCTCCTCGCTCTCTCATCCTCCTCCTCCTCGTCCTCCTTCCTCCTCCCTCCTCCTCCTCCTCACTCCTCTCCTCCTCCCCCTCCTCCTCCTCCTCCTCCACGTCCCCCTCTCTCCTCCTATCCTCCTCCTCCTCCTGCCTCCTTCCTCCTCCCTTCATCTTGGCATCGCACAGTATTATCTGGAAAATCTGTCTGTACCGCTTAGAGCTAACCTGCTCTTTCTCCCATCTTCCCGCCGTATATTACGGTTTGAAAGTATATTACTCGCTCCACCCCCGCGTGTTCGAAACCGTTTTTTTACACAGGTTTCCCCAGAGTTGGGTTTTCGCTTGCATTTTTTTCCAAAATGCTGCTCTCGCTGAGGCGCCGGCCTCATTTTCGGGCCCCGCTCGTTCCGAATCGTGCTCCCGCTGCAGCGCTGGCCTCATTTCCGTGCTTCCGCTCGTTCCGAATCGTACTCCCGCTGCAGCGCTGGCCTCATGTCCGCGCTTCCGCTCGTTTCGACTCGTGCTCCCGCTGCAGCGCTGGCGTCATTTCCCGTGCCATGCCACGGCATGCAATGCGATGCTAGGTTGATACTACGCTTTGCGGTGCTCTTCTACGCCATGCCATGCCGTGCTCTACAATGCATCGCGTACCCTTTCGGGACCATTGCCCTGCTCGACATCCGACTGTGCGAGTAGAGAGGGGATCTACGCCATGGTAAGGGATGGGAGGGAGGGTAGATGCCAGCGCGAGCGGCGCACCTAGCTTGCCCTCATCCCCTCCCATCCCCCTCTCCCCCTTCTCCTCCTCCTCCTCCTCCTCCTCCTCCTCCTCCTCTCCCCTCCTTCCTCCTGCCTTCCTGTTCCTCACTCCTCCTGTCCTCCTCTCCTCCTCCTCCTCCTCCTCCCTCCCTCCCTCCCTTCCCTCCATCCTCCTCCTCCTCCTCTCCTCCCCCTCCTCCTCCTCCTCCTCCTCCTCCTCCTCCTCCCCTCCTCCTCCTCCCTCCTCCTCCTCCTCCTCCTCCTCCTCCTCCTCCTCCTCCTCCTCCTTCCTCCTCCTCCTCCTCCTCTCTCCTCCTCCTCCCTTCTCCCATCCACATTACTGAATATGAATACTACTCTTCCCTCTTCCCCTGATACGGTTTGAAAAGTATTAGCCCCCCCCCCGCGTACTGTTTGTTTACACAGGATTCCCCAGAGTTGGGTTTTCGCTTGCATTTTTTTTTTTTTTTTTTTTCTTCCAAAATGCTGCTCTCGCTGAGGCGCCGGCCTCATTTTCGGGCCCCGCTCGTTCCGAATCGTGCTCCCGCTGCAGCGCTGGCCTCATTTCCGTGCTTCCGCTCGTTCCGAATCGTGCTCCCGCTGCAGCGCTGGCCTCATTTCCGCGCTTCCGCTCGTTTCGACTCGTGCTCCCGCTGCAGCGTTGGCGTCATTTCCCGTGCCATGCCACGGCATGCAATGCAATGCTAGGTTGATACTACGCTTTGCGGTGCTCTTCTACGCCATGCCATGCCGTGCTCTACAATGCATCGCGTACCTTTTCGGGATCATTGCCCTGCTCGACATCCGACTGTGCGAGTAGAGAGGGGATCTACGCCATGGTAAGGGATGGGAGGGAGGGGTAGGATGTCAGATATGACGCGAGCGCACCTAGCTTGCCCCTTCCTCTCCCCTCTCTCCTTCTCCTCCTCCTCCGCCCCTCCTCCTCCTCCTCCTCCTCCTCGTCCCTCCTCCTCCTCCTCCTCCTCTCCTCCTCCTCCTCCTCCTCCTCCTCCTCCTCCTCCATCCTCCTCGCCTCCTCCTCTTCCATCCTCCTCCTCGTCCTCCTCCTGTCCTCCTTTTCCCCTCCTCTGCCTCCTCCTTCCTCCCCCTTTCCCCTCCTCGTTCCTCCTCCTCCTCCTCCTCCCTCCTCCTCCTCCTCCTCCCCCTCCTTCCTCCTCCTCCTCCTCCTCCTCCTCCTCCTCCTCCTCCTCATCCCTCCTCCTCCTCCGCCCTCTCCTCCTCATTCTCCCCATCCACATTTACTGACTAAGAATCTACCACTCTTCCCGTTATGCAACGTTTTTGGAAAGGATTAGCCCCCCCCCCTGCGTACTGTTTTTTACACACAGGATTCCCCGGAGTTGGGTTTTCGCCTGCATGTTTTCCAACATGCTGCTCTCGCTGAGGCGCTGGCCTCATTTTCGGGCCCCGCTCGTTCCGAATCGTGCTCCCGCTGCAGTGCTGGCCTCATTTCCGTGCTTCCGCTCGTTCCGAATCGTACTCCCACTGCAGCGCTGGCCTCATTTCCGCGCTTCCGCTCGTTCCGACTCGTGCTCCCGCTGCAGCGCTGACGTCATTTCCCGTGCCATGCCACGGCATGCAATGCAATGCTAGGTTGATGCTACGCTTTGCGGTGCTCTTCTACGCCATGCCATGCCGTGCTCTAAAATGCATCGCGGACCCTTTCGGGACCATTGCCCTGCTCGACATTCGACTGTGCGAGTAGAGAGGGGATCTACGCCATGGTAAGGGATGGGAGGGAGGGTTGTAGGTGTACATATTGTCAGTTCGAGACGCGAGCTGCACCCAGCTTGCCCTCTCCGCCCCCTCCTCCTCCTCCGCCTCCTTCCTCCTCCTCCTCCTCCTCCTCCTCCTCTCCCTCCTCCCCTCCTTCCTCCTCCTCCTCCTCCGTCCTCCTCCTCCTCCTCCTCCTCCTCGCCCATCCCTCCTCCCTCCTCCCTCCTCCGCATCCCTTCCTCCTCCCTCCTCCTCCCCCGCCTCCTCCTCCTCCTCCTCCTCGCTCCTCCTCTCCTTCCTCCCTCTCCTCCTCTCCCTCCTCCCTCCTCCTCCTCCTACTCGTCCTCCTCCTCCTCCATCCTCTTCTCCCTCCTCCCTTCTCCCCATCCACAATTACTGAATAGGGACTCGGGACTACGCTCCCTCTTCCCCTGATGACGGCTTGAAAGTATTAGCCCCCCCCCCGCGTATTGTTTTTTACACAGGATTCCCCGGAGTTGGGTTTCCGCCTGCATGTTTTCCAACATGCTGCTCTCGCTGAGGCGCTGGCCTCATTTTCGGGCCCCGCTCGTTCCGAATCGTGCTCCCGCTGCAGCGCTGGCCTCATTTCCGTGCTTCCGCTCGTTCCGAATCGTGCTCCCACTGCAGCGCTGGCCTCATTTCCGCTCTTCCGCTCGTTCTCATCGTGCTCGTGCCCATGTCCCTAGCGCTGGCGTCATTTCCGTGCCATGCCACGGCATGCAATGCAATGCTAGGTTGATGCTACGCTTTGCGGTGCTCTTCTACGCCATGCCATGCCGTGCTCTAAAATGCATCGCGGACCCTTTCGGGACCATTGCCCTGCTCGACATTCGACTGTGCGAGTAGAGAGGGGATCTACGCCATGGTAAGGGATGGGAGGGAGGGGTAGGATGTCAGATATGACGCCAGCGCACCTAGCTTGCCCTCTCCTCCCCCTCTCCCTTTTCCTCCTCCTCCTCCTCCTCCTCCACCTCCTCCTCCTCCTCCTCCTCTCCCTCCTCCTCCTCCTCCCTCCTCCTCCCTCCTCCCTCCTCCTCCTCCTCCTCCTCCTCCTCCTCCTCCTCCTCCTCCCTCCTCCTCCTCGAGGCGAAGAGCGTGCTCCGGCTGGGGGGCCTCGACGCCGCCCTCCGCCTCTACCCGCACGGCGACGAGGACGCCCCCGAGGAGGGCGCGCGCCCCGGCCCCCCACGGCCGGGCCGGCCTCGGGGTCAGGGCGGGCCCCCGGCGGAAGTCGGGCGTGCCCCCCCCCCTAAACAGGGGGGAGGTTCAACGAAACATAGAAGCACCCCAAGAATATACAAAAAACAATACACCCAAGAACTATTCCAAAATTGCCAAACAAGTATTCAAAACATAGTCCCCAGGCTATTTTTGGACTGTTCTTGAATATTCCTCCGGTAGAGGGACGGGCCCGACTTAACCCCAGGTCTGCTTGACCCAAGAGGGGCTCCACACAGGCTGACACGACGGACCCCGAGGACGATCCTCCCTCCGTGTCTCCTCCTGACTGTTTGCGCATTGATTCCCGATGCCACGGCCTCGCCCACCTGGTCTTGAGTAGGCCCCAGGTCTCCACCGAGTGCAGTCCACTACTCGCAAAGTGCCTACTCGCAGACGTTTGAAGCATATACGCCTACTTCGATGTGATTTCTCGTGCATTCCCCGCGGGGGGTTCAGGCGGTTTGCGAATAGTCACTTTGCGAGTAGTGGGACGCTCTCGTCGACGTCTGCTTGACCAAGAAGGGGGTCCAGCTGAAAGGGGGTGGTGCAGTACAACTATTTGGTGCGGTAGATCTGTGGGTTTGCAGCAGGTTTTTTGGGGCGTGCCATACATTCGGATGCGAAAGTGTATTGCTAGATTTTCGCGTGCAATGCATGATGAGATGCAAGACAGTGCAATCCATTTCTTCGGAGCAATAGATTTCGCAATACAATTGCCCAAAACCTATTGCACCACCCCATTTCAGCTGGACCCCCTTTTGGGTCAACCAAACCAGGGGCGCGGAAGCCCTGCTCGACAGCGGAGGCGTCGATCGGGCGTTGCGTATATTCCAAGGGGCAACGATAGGGGCCCAGACCACTCGGGGCGGAGGTTTATGCATCACCCAGGCCACTCGAGTCACGACAAAAATCACGACGGGAGGTGTTTTGCTATTTTCGGCCTCCAGGGGCCCTTGCCCAGCCTCGGGACCGTCAAAAAACGACTCGGGTCGATGAAACACCAGTCCCTCGGAATGGATCGAGACCTCTGGGGATTGACGTCATGAACAATTCATGACGTCGGAGGTCTGGGGGGGGGACTGGCACAGCCCTTGAGCCCCTGGCAATTTAATTTTGTTCGAGCCGGGCGTTTTCGCCTTATTTTGGGCCCCGGGACCCTCACAGATCAAGCCGGCCTCGAAAAATGGCGCAGAAAGAGGGGGTCCAGGGGTCCTGTCTTTATTTTTGTTCGATGTTGCAATTTTCTGTAACGGCAGATCTCAGGATACTCCGAGGCGGGGAGTTATGCATAACCACCGCCTGGAGGAGGATGGATTTTCGGAGACCTCAACAAGCGGCGCATATGGATATATTTGGGCCCCCAGGGGCCAAAATATATTCATATCAACTGCCTGCTGGGTTCCCAGGACGTCGATTCCCAGGCGATGAATATGGATAAATCCCCACCTCGCATGCACACGGGGGCGAGTCATAGCAGAGGTGCACTAAACCAGGGGAGCGGGGTCCCGCTTAATGAGCAGGAGAGGCGGGGTCCGACCAGACTCTGGTCCGAAGGGCGGGTTCGGGGGCCGAGGGGAGTTGGATCCGAAACGACCCAGGTTCGAAGGTCATCGTTTTCTCATTCGTTGTTTTGCTGATCGTCGCGCGCCCTCGCACCCCCCCTCCGCCCCCGTGGAGCAGATTTCGGCTGTTTGGGGCGCCTGTTTCGAGCAAGTCGGGTCTCCCCCAAAGGAAGCACGGTTGCAAACAGTCGCATTGAGCAGAGGTCTGGAGCCAGCCCCCCCCCTCCCTCCCCCCCACCCTTTCCGCCAAATGTCGAAACGGCGAAGGAGAAAACGCTCACAACGGGGCCGGGTCCGACGGCTTCGGTCCGAAGCGACCCAAGCCCGAAGCGACACGACCAGCCGGGCCCAAAGTGAACCCGCAAAATGTTATGCCCGAGCGGCCTATCCGCCCGAGCAGCCCGCCCGACCTGTTCGGGTGCCGATCCGATAGGTCGACAGTCCGATCCGACGCCAATCGCAAACCGAAAGTTGCACCCATCTCACCACCCAGAGCCTCCTGGTCACCCAAAGGGTGGCTTGTAGGTAGTATGTATCCGCCCGCTTGGAGAGCCATGTGATGACTGGAGTGCGTGAGGGGTGTGCCGACCTGGATCTACCCAGGACAGTCTAAGAGGCCTTCGAAAATCGTATGGGAGGCAAGTTGTTCGGACAGCGTGTTTACATCCACGTGTCCGTGGCCTGTTTCGAGGTCTGGTAGTGGAAGTATGATGCTGGACGCCAGGCTTAGCCGTCTCCAGAGATCCGTCGGGGTTTGTCTTGGCTCGCTAGCCTTCACACCCTCTCTGATGAACCTGATCAGGCAAGAACGGGACGCACCGCTATTGTCCACCGCGCTTGTGCGGGATGTTCTGACGTGCTGGTCTGCCGTGCTGGTCTGTCCTGGGTGCGTGGGCTTGCGCGCGCGTTTGCATGTGTGCCTGGAGTGCGTGAGTGCATGTGTGTATATGTGTGAGTGTGTGAGTGCGTGAGTGTGAAAGTGTGTGTGTGTGTGCGTGTGTGCGTGTGCGTGTGTGTGCGCGTGCTCGTGCGCGTGCGCGTGCGAATGCACGTTCGAGTGCGCGTGCGCGTGCGCGTGCGTGTGCAATTGCGCATGCGCGTGCGCGTGCCCGTGCGCGTGCGCGTGGGCGTGCGTGCGTGCGTGCGTGTGCGCGCGTGTGTACGCGCGCGTGTGTGTGCGTTCGCGCGCGCGCGCGTGTGTGTGTGTGTTGTGTGTGTGCGCGCGCGTGTGTTGTGTGTGTGCGCGTGTGTGCGTGCGTGCGTGTGTGCGTGCGTGTGTGCGTGTGTTCGTGTGTGCGTGCGTGCGTGCGTGCGTGCGTGCGCATGTCGTGCGCATGTTGTGCGCGTGTCGTGCGCGTGTCGTGCGCGTGTCGTCGCGTGTCGTGAGCGTGTCGTGCGCGTGTCGTGCGCGTGTCGTGCGCGTGTCATGCGCGTGTCGTGCGCGTGTCGTGCGCGTGTCGCGCGCATGTCGTGCGCATGTCGTGCGCGTGTCGTGCGCGAGTCACGTGCTTGTCGTGCGCGTGTCGTGCGCGTGTCGTGCGGGGATCGTGCGCGTGTCGTGCGCGTGTCGTGTGCGTGTCGTGCGCGTGTCGTGCGCGTGTCGTGCGCGTGTCGTTCGCGTGTCGTGCGCGTGTCGTGCGCGTGTCGTGCGTGTGACGTGGGCGTGTCGTGCGCGAGTCATGCGCTTGTTGTGCGCGTGTCGTGCGCGTGCCGTGCGGGGGCCGTGCGCGTGTCGTGCGCGTGTCGTGCGCGTGTCGTGCGCGTGTCGTGCGCATGTCTTGCGCGTGTCGTGCGTGTGTCGTGCGCGTATCGTGCGCGTGTCGTGCGCGTGTCGTGCGCGGGTGCGCGGAAGCGCGTGTGCGTGTGCGTGTTCGCATCTGCATGTGCGTGTGCGTGTGCGTGTGCGTATGCGTGTGCGTTCGTGTGTGTGTGTGTGGTGTGTGGTGTGTGTGTGTGTGTTCGTGTGCGTGTGCGTGTGCGTGTGCGCGTGTGCGTGTGCGTGTGCGTGTGTGTGTGTGTGGTGGGTGTGTGGTGTGTGGCGTGTGGAGTGTGGTGTGTGTATGTGTGTGTGTGTGTGGTGTGTGGTGTTTTGTGTGTGGTGTTTGGTGTGTGAGTATGCATATGCGTGTGCGTGTGCGTGTGCGTGTGCGTGTGCGTGTGCGTGTGCGTGTGCGTGTGTGTGTGTGTGTGTGTGTGAGAGAGAGAATGTGGTGTGTGGCGTGTGGTGTGTGGTGTGTGGTGTGTGGTGTGTGGTGTGTTGTGTGTGGTGTCTGCGTGTGCGTGTGCGTGTGCGTGTGCGTGGTGTGTGTGTGTGCGTGGTGTGTGCGTGCGTGCGTGTGTGTGTGTGTGTGTGTGTGTGTGTGTGTTCATTTTTGTCTCCCAAACTGTGGCCCTCGCCTGAGCCACGTGCGCAGTTGTTTCGGACGGATGAGGTTGAGGTCGTGTTCAAACTGTGGGGCTCGCTCGGTTTGCCGCGCTCATTCGTTTCAAACGCTCGCAGAGGATGCACAGACGGAAGGTGGTCTTGCCCCAAGATGGGGCCCAACGCCCAAGCATGCTCAGCAGTCACACGGACGGAGGGGCGGCTCTGCTTCAAACTCGGGATATTGGCCGGAACGTTCTCAGGCCCCATTGCTTGACCCCTGGCATGTGCAGCAGTCGAGGCGCACGGACGGAGGCCGGTTTATCATGACGATGGGGCTCTTGCTTGAGACCCCCTTGGACTGTATCACATGGTAGCCGAACAGATGCAACACTTTCACGGATCGGAGACGGCTCATGTTCGAAATGGGTTTCTCGGTTGGCACGCATTTGAACGTCGTGCTCGTCATGCGATCCTACATCTTGATGCTCATGAGTATTCACTTGCATGGAGGGCGGCTTCTTAAACAAAAACGGGGCTCCCGCTTGAATGGCAGGTCCATGGGCGATCGACTTTCCAGTGGGCGCTCCCTTCGGGTTGACCAAACAGGGGGTCCAGCGACAAGGGGGTGGTGCGATAGATGTGGTGCAATAGATTCTTGGGGTTGCAGTACATTTGGTGCGTGAAATACGTTTCGGGGCGCATTCGGGGCGCAAATGCATTGCTGTATTTTCGCGTGCAACGCATTACTTGCAATACAATGCAATACTGTTCTCCTGCGCAAAACATGTGCAATACACTCGCCCCAAATCTATTGCACCACCCCCTTTCAGCTTGATCCCCTTTTGGGTCACCCAAATCCCTGTAGCAAAAGTTGCGACATGTGTATGGACCTCGTGAAAGCGATTTTGGAAAGCAGGGTCCGTGGCAGTATCGTTGTTCTGTTGCTTATTCCGGCCCTCCCGTCTCCTCATCATCGTCCTCCCTCATCCGCGGTTCGGAGACGTCAGCAAAGCCTCA